GGTCTCTGTTTGGGCATCAGTGTAGTAAGATTTGAGGACTGTTGCATCATGTAGGTCTACACAACATGTCCTTGAGGTCATAGCACTTTTCATAAAGAAACCCACAGTTCCACTTTTGGTATAGTTTACTCCCAATCACCTGCCAACTGCTTCATTAGTGGATATGCAGTCATTTAAAAGAAGGTGGCAATTTATGTTTGGGATCCCTTTGGGATCCCTGAGGCAAGTATCATGAAGGAAGGGAAATATCATCATTCAGATTTAATTTAAGAAAAGCATTCATTGTTACCTTCTAAAGAACTCCTTGGTACCAGCAGAGCAAATAGGGCAAACTGGCTGCAAATGAGAATCATATTCATCATACCTGGTTGGTAGAAAGGTGAGTTTTACCAGGTGCAATTCACATGTGCTCAGCTGTATCATCAAAATTCTGAACTTCTGCAGTAGTCAGATTAAATTATGTACATATATTTGATCTGATGTTTTGCCTGATAAATATTTACACAGAGGATAAGTTGTAACATAATATTCATACTATTTAAGAAAAGTGGATCATGCCCGTATAATTTCCTTCGCGGCAAGATGGAAGTTTCTGTGGCTGGCTTCTTCTGGTATTTTTTTTTTAAAGTCTCCATCTAGTCTCAGAAATTCCTGGAGATCTTCATCCAAGTAATAACCAAGGCACCCCTGCTTAGCTTTGGAGCCCAAACAAGGTCAGTCACCCAATCGCCAAGGTTTGTGCTGTGAAGTCAAATAGATTTAAATCAGTAAAATTGCAACTGAATAAGAGCAATAACAATAACCAAGCACCGTGAAAAGAGCCAAAAGCAGACTGTGTGTGTTTAGTACAAAAGTTTTCAAACTCTGCATTATTATGATCCATCCTCAATGATAAAAAGCATACGTATGATGTCTCTCCCAAGTAAAACTCACTATTTCACTGGAATTAGGGCAAGAAACAAAAAATACCGCTTTGAAAAAGACACCTTTTTTGATATACAGGCCCTTTGATGGTCTTTTTTTAACTATCCCAAAGAAACACCTACATTTTGAAAGGCTAAATAAGTAAAACAATGAATAAATATGCTAGTTTCACTGGCATATATATTTCCAAATATATTTCCAATAATGCCGATATACTTCTGCATGCCAGATTAAAAGCTATCAGGATAAAATCCACTACAGGCGTAGCCATCTCTCAAAACTTGTTCCAGGATTGACTCTCTACTCTGCCCTGACACGGCTCACCCAGCCAAAGCAGGGGTTTGTTTAACAACATTGCTGTTTTAGGCATGCACAATCAACTGTGCTCTTTAGGGGTCACAGTCCAGAGTTTGAACAGCTCTTGCTTAGTGTTATCTGAAACTGAGTAATTGTGGCTTATTTGGCAAACCAGTGCTTGGCAAACTAGATCAGCTGATCTGTCCAGCAAATAAACCACCTTGCGTATCTAATTTCTAACAGATAGTAGCTTTCAAGCAAGTCTTTATTGGCTTTCCTGGAAAATATTGGAGACCAATTCAGGAAGACAAAACACACACTCTGCTCTTCATCTATGGCCTTTCCTGGTGCTAAAAAGTATTCTCCTGAATACTCAAATAGAACATTGAATGTTCACTACTGATTGCTACTCAGGTAAGTATCACTTATCTATAATGTATGGATATGAGGCTACTTTTTTCTACCAAAATATAGATTTTTCATCCCCAAATGCTCTCCTGTATTATAACAGCTTTTTATTACTGCTTCCTGCCAGCTGCAGCTGCTCTTGATTATAAAAGCTCTTATCATTTCCCTTGATGTTATCTTGTTCTGAAGAATCTCAATCACTAATAATATATTAGAAGAGACTGTTATATGGAAAGATTTCAGCCTGCCTCACAATAAGTATTCAGTCAAATGATTGTTGTATGCATTCTATTATTTAATGCTTTTTGATTAGGTAAAAAAGTATCCCATTGCTCTCATCTGGCTAGTTAACCAAGGCATGAGTCTGGATCAAGCAATCCATGAAGTCATCTTTTGTTTAACCTTGTTTATTGAATAATCAATAAACAAGGTTAATCAATGGTTCATATATCATAGCACGATATAAATCATGACTTGCAAGCCACAAAGCTGGATTCATTTTATTTATCATACGACACATTCACATCACTTCTTATATTTGCTGACCATCACAAAAAGACAGAGATAAAGTTGGCTGTTCAGATAGAGAAATACCATTTTAAATTTTGATTCCCAAACGAATAGGAGTCCCTACCTTTCTCACAATAACTAGTGCTCTACAAATGCAATAGATGTAGATTGTTAGGAAACATCCCTTTCTGATTTCAGAGAATTGTGTGTTTACTTACCTGACTCATTTCCAGCTTGAGGGCAGCTTACCAATTTCCTCGATGGCTGAGCTTTCCACAGGTCATTCTGATCCTGTACATATAATAGATAAATCTAGTGTTTTTGTTCTTTATTAGAAGCAAAAAAAAAATAAAAATGAAAGTCTCAGTCCATAAAATTGGTGTTCAATTGGGTGTATCTTTATATCCATTAATGTGAGTTTTACCTCTATATTCATTAACATGTTTTTTGTTTTGATTTCTGGAAAAAGCAAATTTAATGGCTGTAACATCAAGACTGAATGGAAAACACCCATCCCAAAAATCCTTACATGCTTTTGCCCATATTAAAAATTCTTGTATAGCTGCACAATTAAAAATCACATTATTTATAAACTACCATGCATATTCTGAAAAGTCTACTTTGACCTTGAGTATTTTCTGTTAAGAAAAAAGGGCTATTATCCTAAATAGGCATACCCCACATTGAAACACACTGAGGGGTCCCTGAGGCTCTTTGAGCTTGGTGGTTCTCTTGCACTTGTTCATTACCCAAGCTATGTAACAGCATCAAGATCAAAATCACGTGAAGTATTAGTACCGCTTTATAAAACCTTAATAAGACCACACCTAGAATACTGCATCCAGTTTTGGTCACCATATTACAAAAAAGATGTTGAGACTTTGGAAATAGTGCAGAGAAGAGCAACTACCGGAAAGATGATTAAAGGCCTGGAGGCTAAAACATACAAAGAATGTTTGCAGGAATTGGATATGGCTGGTCTAGAGAAAATGAGGACTAGAGGTGACATGATAGCAGTGTTTCAATGTTTGAGGGCTGCAATGAAGAAGAGGGGATCATCCTATTTTCCAAAGCCACCAGAAGGCAGGTCAAGAAACAATGGATGGAAACTAATCAAAAAAAGAAAGAAACCTAGAACTAAGGAGAAATTTCCTGACAGTGAGAACAATTAACCCGTGAAACTGCTTGCCTCCTGAAGTTGTGGGTGCTCCATCACAGGAGATTTTTAAGAAGAGACTGGATAGCCACTTATCTGAAATATAGGTCTCATGCTAGAAGACCTCCAAGATCCCTACCAATTCTATTCTGTAATAATTAGCGCCCTGATAATGTTACCTAGTTTGGTAATGGAACATTTGCAAGAAACCACCAAGCTCAGAGAGCAACAAGGACGCCTCATGTCAACCAAGAGCTCTCCCAATTATGCTTTTTCAGGAGGTGACTGGACTTGGTTTTTCTTTGAAGATGTTTCGCTTCTCATCCAAGAAGCTTCTTCAGTTCTGTTTGAAGAAGCTTCTTAGATGAGAAGCAAAAGGTCTTCAAAGAAAAACAAGAAAGTACAGTTGCTTCCTGAAAAAAACCATCTTTATGATAACTGTGACCTGCATGACTGATCATCTCCATAGACATCAACCGAGAGCTACTTCTTTTTATCTCTGGGCCGAAATGAAGAGGCCTTGCTGTTCTCTGAGCTTGGTTGTTTTATTGTAACTTTGCAAGCTGTTCAGAGTTACCTTCAAATGGATGGCATATCAATTTATTAAATAATAGTTATAAGCAGGAACAACCTGCCTCCAGAAGCTGTGAGTGCTCCAACACTGAAAGTTTTTAAGAGACTGGACAGTCCTTTGTCCGAAATGGTACAGGGTTACCTGCCTGAGCAGGGGGTTGGACTAGATGACCTCCAAGGTCCCTTCCAACGTTGTTGTTGTTGTTGTTGTTGTTGTTATTATTATTATTATTATTATTATTATTACTATTAAGCTTTTAGACACTTTTCACAGGGAAGAAGCCACCAAGCCACAGACACCTGGGCATTTCTGACGCTTCCTAGAGCTGATCCTCATTCTCGTTTCCGGGTTGGTGTTCACACAACACCCCAAAACAAGGGGAACTGTGGTTTACCTACCAATCGAGTTATGGCTTATCAGGACACGTGTCCCGTGGAAGGCCGCGTTCAGACGACCCCGCGACTCCCTACCGGCCCGTGGGCAGGACCTGACCCACCTGCTCGACCCCGAGGTGACCCGGGGCTCCCGAAGACGTGGCGACCCGGGGCTCGGGAAGCCACGCTTCTGGGGATCGGCCCCCCGGGAGAACCCCCACCGCATTTCGGCCTCCCAAGCGAAGGGCTTCCCGAGACAGGCCTTCGCCGGCCGGCGCGCCTAGGCCTCGATGCCCGGGAAAAGCCGCCTCGCTCGGGAACAGCCGCGCGGCGCCGAGGCGGGAAAATTCCGCGCGTGGGCGGGGACCGAGCGACCGACCGGCCGGCCGGCAGCGGCGACGCCTCCTCCGCGATGGGGGCCGGTGGGTCAAGCGAGGCGCGGGGGGGGGAGAACCGGGCGGCCCCCTCAGGACAGCTGAGGCTGCGGGGGGGCAGCCCCCCCAGCACCCTGAGGGAGGGGGGAGAGGAGGAGGAGGGAGGGGAGGAGGGACCGCGGCCTCCCCGCCCCGCCGCCTCCTGCTTCTCCGCCCCTCCTCCAAAAAAAAATGGAAAGGGGCGGGATTTCGCCGGGGAGGGGCGTGGCCTCCCCTATAAATATCGGCGCCAGGCGGCGGGCACCCTCATTCCTCGGGTGCTGCACGCCGCTGTCAGTGTTGCCGAATCGCGCGCTTCTTGAGGCTCTTTTATTATTTTTTATTTTTTTTTTAATTCCCGCTGCTGGATTTGACGCTTCGCTTTTTCTTTCCTTCGGCCTCGCAGTATTCGCCCCCGCCATGAATGGTTTCCGGGACAGCAGGATCGAGGAGGGCACCTTCCTTTTCACCTCAGAGTCGGTGGGGGAAGGGCACCCAGGTGAGAGGACGAGGAGATGCGGGGCGGGCGGGCGGGGGGGGTGGATGGAATGAGCGGGAAGGAGGGAGGCGAGGGTGGGTGGGTGGGCGGGCGGCCGCGCGCCGCCGCTCGCCGCCTGATTGGCCAGCGCACCCCGGCTGAATGACGCACGGGCGGCTGCGGAGATCGGGCGGGGGGGGGGCGCGGGCGGCCCGACGGTTAACGCGACCCGCCTCTCTTCCCCGAATTTGGAGCCCCCCCCTCCGCCTTGAGGTGGGGGTACGCCTGTTCTCCCCCCCCTCCCTTTCCTCGCCGCCTCGGAGCGGCCGTCCGGGCCAACCGGCGAATGGGGTACGGGCTGAGGTGACGAAAGCGGGCCCTGGCGCGCACGCGCACTCCCGCTCGGCAATCGGCGGCGCGCGCCGCATTGCAGACGACCACGTGGTGCCCGCATGGCCAGACCTTGGGAGGCGAGGATGGATGGTGGGGTGGGGTGGGGTGAAAAGGGGGGGGGGAGGAAGCCAGAACCCAAGAGTGCCTCTGGGGTGTGTGGGGGGNGGAGGAGGAGGAGGAGGGGGGGCACAAGACTTAAGGGCAAAACCGGCAAACGCTTTCTGATGAAAGACACAAAAGAAGCCTTGAAGCTTTCAGGAAGGATAAAACCCACCTGCCAGACTCGAACGTCAATTGCTTTAAAATCAATGCAAGTTTAAAAAAAAATCACCTTGGTCCTCCCTCGAGCTCTTCTGCAACAAAGAGGCTTATGTGGACAAACGGGATTGAGAACATTGGTCGGGCTTTGAAGCAGCAGAAGAGCAATCCTGGTTTGGATGCCCAACGATCTTGGGAGGCATCTTGCATTTCCATTGTCTTCCGCCATGATGTCTGAGCTTTGGGGGAGAGCTTGCAAAGGACTGGTTTCCAGCAGGGGCGGGGGGAAAAACCAGCTTTTGTGTCATGTTAATCTAAAGCGAGTTAAGATCCTTTTTGGAATATTGATGCGTTTGATGTAAAAGTGGGAGGAGGTAGTGCATCACTCAAGCCTCTGCTACAAAAGGGCAGGAAGAACCGGTAGATCATCTTTTCCGCCATTGACATGTAGCCATTGAATGCCATATGTTTCATATTAAAGGAGAGCACTGTTTAATATTCCCTGCAGGGTGGATCAGATCTTTGTAGTCTCTGCTTTTTGGAATAAATAAAAAGATTTGATAGTTGTATACTTGATGAAATGAAGAGACCTTGACCCCTTCACTTAACTGCTCATTACTGTAGTTCCTTTCATACCATAATTAGGACTCTGACTTAAGGGAGCCATGCTGTAAAACAGCATCTCAAAGGTCAGTTGCTAAAAGATACACAATCTCTACTACAGTTAATAAAAGATACACAATCTCTACTACTAGAAATTCCCTGAAATTTATTCCAAATCCTGAGATGTAATTTATTTTGTGAAACTGATAAAATAACATTTTATTATAGAACTTAACATCAGCATGTACACTATGTACATGATCTTTTTCTGATGTGGCATCTACCAGGATATTGAATTACATTCTAAAACAATGGGAGTTACATCTCTTCAACTCTGAGGGGGATGTTCATTCTAAAATAGTGTGGTTTTTTTAAAAAGTTAGAGGAGCAAGCATTGTCTAGGAGTCAGTAGCATTGCTTATAGTTGTTGCATTGTTTAAGGTATTGCTTATTTAGGTACTCCAAAGCTGTATCAAAACAATCCAGCATTTGATTCCGTAGCGACCAGTCATTCCTACAAGAAATCCACAGGATTTGACAGGATATGAATGCAGTGAAGCTTGTCCACTTATTTTACCTCCAAGATTTCTAAGCATCGTAGTATTACACCATAGTTTAAGCCAAATCTTCCATGTTTCAGCTTTATTGATCAGTAGTTTCTATAACAAATAGAATTCCAAACATGTTCAGTGTTAATAACATCCTCTGGCATGTAATAGTCATGTTTCTAAGGTTACCATTCCCTTGTAAAAGAATTGGGACGAGCCTTGATTGCTAGCTTGATAATACCACATTTAACAATGCAAATACATTTTCTCTTGTCCTTCCTGTATCTGGGATTGTTCCTTATTCTCCTTGTTGCCATCTTGTGTCCTCTAAAGAGCAGGGTAGTGGGAGAGTGCAGGTATAGCCTCTTATAATAGTGTGTAAATCAATAGTGGCTCCTGTTAAGCTCTAATTGACTGTAGGATATTCAAGTTTGGTGTTTTCAGAGGGGATGTAAAAACCTTAAAGAACTGTAACTTTGGTATTAAGCTTTCCCATCCCGTGAAGTGTCCAAATGTAGATCTTAATAATTTAAAATACGCCTACCTAGTAAGTAGAGTGGGTTGAACAAGTTTAAACATCCATAGTTTTAGGAAGGGCCACTTTGGTATAATGTGTAAAGGTGCCAGGCTATAAACAAGGAGACTGAGTTGTAGTCCTACCTTGAGCAGAAAAGCCAGCTAGGTGACTTGGCCAAGCATGTTTTTTTTTCAGGCTTAAGAAGGCGGCTGTGCAAACTTACTTCCAAGAATCTTGCCAAGAAAACTGCATGGACTTCTCCTAGCAGTTACCAGGGACAAGATTGACAGTTCACATACTGACATCCAGACAATTGCAGCTTTGTTATTCTTTGAGTAACTCCTATGAAGAATGCTTGTGAATTAGCAGAAACCTAGTTTTCACCTTGCCCCAAAACTAAGCTAAGAAGTATATACATAAATAACTCTTGAATAAAGTGTGTGCAAAATTTTGTGAAGCTATGTCTCATGGTTTATTGGGCTTGTGCGCCATCAGCTTAAACCCAGCCCTTGTGACCCTTTATCTAGTTTTTTCTAAAATGAACTGTTTACAAGAAATGATGGCTGCTCCCACTTCATGTACTAAGCATTGGGTTAGCCTGAAAGATTATATAGGGCAGGGGAAATGTCTGTTTGCAGCCATGTAACCACACCCTATTTCAAATTACTTGTAAAGGAGATGACCAGAACAGACTTTGAGAAGGAGGGGTTATTTTAATTAATCAGTGAAATAACGGGGTTTCTTAAAATGCGGAACGGTACTTTTTTGAAACCTAAAATGTGAAAAATACTCCTAGAAGCACGAAAAATAACGGGAACTTTTTGTTTTCAGATAAGATCTGTGATCAAATTAGTGATGCTGTTCTTGATGCGCACCTGAAGCAGGATCCAAATGCCAAAGTCGCATGCGGTGAGTGCATCTGGCTTTTTAGAGAAGGGCTGAACAGCATATTCAGTATTTTTTTTTTACCAGTGAAAGACTCTGTTGCACTTGGAACTGACGGCGTTCAATCTATGTCCCAATGCAGAAACGGCTGCAAAGACTGGAATGATTCTCCTGGCTGGGGAGATCACATCCACTGCTGCAGTTGACTATCAAAAAATTGTTCGCGAAACAATCAAGCACATTGGCTATGATGATTCATCAAAAGGTGAGTAGATTGAATGCCCGCTAGGCAAGCTACCTTTTTGCGTTCCACTGTTGATCAGGAAGCTTTTGGTTTTGAACTATTTAACTTTCTCACCCTAAGGTTAAACTTTTATGTGTTTTAGGCTTTGACTACAAAACGTGCAATGTACTGGTTGCTCTAGAGCAGCAGTCTCCCGACATAGCTCAGGGTGTGCATCTTGACAGGAAGGAAGAAGACATTGGTGCTGGGGACCAGGTTGGTATTCAGGCCTTATCGATTAACGATAAACTGGAACCTAATGTGAATTCCTAGCACTGGCCTGTTTTGAGTCTGAAGTTTATTCTCCACATGTCGTTCTTGCTTCAGGGTTTGATGTTTGGTTATGCTACCGATGAGACCGATGAGAGCATGCCCCTGACTCTTCTCCTAGCACACCAGCTGAATGCAAAACTGGCAGAACTCCGTCGAAATCATATTTTGACTTGGCTGCGACCAGATTCGAAGACCCAGGTAACGATGGTTGGCATCTTCTGCCTGAATGACAAAGTGGGAAGCCCCGCTGTAGGCAGGCGAAAGATTCCTTTTTGATCATCAAAAGAGACGTGCTCCTTTTGGCTCCATTTCAGGTGACGGTTCAGTACAAGCAGGATCGTGGTGCCGTCATCCCCATTAGAGTCCACACGATTGTCATTTCCATCCAGCACGATGACAGAATTGGACTGGATGAGATGAGAGATGCCCTGAAGGAGAAAGTGGTCAGAGCTGTTGTGCCTGCAAAATACTTGGATGATGATACTATTTATCATCTGCAACCTAGTGGCCGATTTGTGATTGGCGGTCCCCAGGTATGTCAGCAGTTGGACTTTTGTTTGTTGTCTGATCTTGGGGCACACAGTATATTGGCAGTTATCTGAAATGACTACACTGGGAAAGTTCAGAGGCCCTTGGCAGTAGTTTGTAACAAAACCAGGCCTTTGTAAGGTAGCAGAGATGTCCAGTCTCTTCTTAAAAGCCTCCAGTGATGGAGCATCCACAACTTTTGAAGGGAAGCTATTCCACATTGGTTAATTGTTCCCGCTGTCAGGAAATTTCTCCTTAGTTCTAGGTTGCTTCCATTTGTTCAGTTTCCATCCATCGCTTCTTTTGCAAATCTTACCTAAGATTTGCACCAGGATTGTGTAATAAACACAACTGTTGTTTTAGGGAGATGCTGGTTTGACTGGCCGGAAGATCATTGTTGACACTTACGGTGGCTGGGGAGCCCATGGAGGAGGGGCTTTCTCCGGAAAAGACTACACAAAAGTTGACCGCTCGGCTTCTTACGCTGCACGCTGGGTTGCCAAATCCCTTGTAAAGTCTGGCCTGTGTCGACGAGTGCTCGTTCAGGTATGTTTAGCCAGTTTCTCGGGAGCTAAAAGGGGCTGGGACCAGTTTCATTCAGACATATTCCTCTTGCTGTTGTTCCCTTTTGGGGATAAGCAGTGTGCTGTCAAAGTGCAGAAAGAGATTACATTAAGTAGCCCAAGGGATTAATGCCATGATATATAGGGAAAGGGAATATAGCTAAATGTGATGTGCACAGTGCTGTTTGTTATATAAGCCCATGCCTTTTATGGTTTTGTAAACTGCTTGTTTCCATCCTGCTCATATGCTGCATCTAGCCTTTTGCACTTGCTACCTCTGACCATGGTGAAGTTCATCAACTCCAGCAATTTCCTTGGCCTCACCCTTCCTCTCACCCTCTTATATTCCTTGGGGAATCCATTCATTCTTGACTGTTTGCTTCTTTTGTTAAACCTTTTTAAATACTCACGTTGCATTGAGCTCCTGTTTTTCTCCTCCCACATTCAAACTTTAATATCCCTTATAAAAACTGAGAAAAAAAAGTCATGCATTTGTTCCCTCCATTTTCCCTTCAAAGTGCAACTGCTTTTGTCTTTTATGTAATTTTGAGATCCATATTCTGTGCCGTGTCATCCAGTATTGACTACAGATGGGTTAGGGTTTTCTGTCAGCAGACATGACATTGCCCGTATTCCAAAATACAGTATTTAGTTTTGAAATAACAGCACTGAAAGCATTGATGAGTAAAGAGGAGAGTTTTTGAAAAAAACGTGGAAAAACGTGTTCCATAATTTTGGAAGCAATATCACCAAAGGAGGAGGGGGTTTTCTGTTCCCGTGGCCGACTCTCTGTATTCCTTCCTACTTGTATTTGCTTGCAGGTCTCTTACGCCATTGGAGTCGCCCACCCAATATCGGTCTCTATTTTCCACTATGGCACTTCTCAAAAAACGGAGCATGAACTGCTGGACATTGTGAAGAAGAACTTCGATCTTCGCCCTGGGGTCATTGTCAGGTAAAACATGGTAGCACATGTCCATATATGAACAGGGAAAATACATGGGGGCTAGGAAGGAGCGGATTAGGCATAAACGAGGAATGGCCATTGGGCAAATCTGCCCTCAGTGTGCCAATGTGCCAACACAACAATGTGTCCTTCTGCCGTATGCGCCATACCCCTCTACGAGGAGACCGAGGAAATCGGCCTGCTGAGCACGCCGTGTCTTGGTGTGTGGTCACAGGAGATGGCTACGGTATCCATCAAATCAGAGGTGATGTCCCTGCATTGTGGTAGCGGGGGGGGGGGGAGAATGCACACTTGGATGCCTTTAGCTCGCAGCAGCATGCTCTTTGATATGTGGCTGTCAAGCTAGATTAGATTAGATATGTAGGTTAATATTACTTTATTGAAAGGTTATAGGAATAGATTCTTGCAAGTCTTGAATGCCCTTCCCTCCTCCTGCAGCCTTTATCTTTGTGAGAGCTAGGAAGGGGGGGCCCTCTGAGATGTTGACTTACATTGATTCTTCCTCCAGACTCAGATCTTTTTATTTTTTATTTTTTGGTCTGACGGTGTCTTGATAAGCAGCTCTTCCTCCTCTCCCTCAAGGCCATTCTCTCTGACCTCTACCGGATAGTTTTGGTGGGATGCTTCCCTCAAAGACTGCTAGTGCATAGAGTAACTTCGAGGTGGGGGGAGAGGGAGTGGAATTCCTGGAAAGCAAAACATCTTTTGAGAGTCTGACCTTATATACTCCATACTTTAGGTGGTTGGCTCCTTGAAAAGTTACTGAGGAACTGAGCTTGCTATATAATAATAATAATAGTAGTAGTAGTAGTAGTAAAGTTGGAAGGGACCTTGGAGGTCATCTAGTCCAACCCCCTGCTTAGGCAGGAAACCTATGCCATTTCAGACAAATGGCTGTCCAGTCTCTTCTTGAAAACTTCCAGTGTTGGGGCATTCACTGCTTCTGGAGGCAGGTTGTTCCACTGGTTAATTGTTCTCACTGTCAGGAAGTTTCTCCTTAGTTCTAGGTTGCTTCTCTCCTGGATTAGTTTCCATCCGTTGCTTCTTGTCCTGCCTTCAGGCGCTTTGGAGAATAGCTTGACTCCCTCTTCTTTGTGGCAGCCCCTGAGATATTGGAACGCTGCTATCATGTCCCCCCTCGTCCTTCTCTTCGTTAAACTAGACATGTAATACCGCAATTGAATTCTTAGTTCTGAACAAGGCCAGAACTGTAGGGGAAATTTACAGATGTTTTAAATTGCTACACAGCAAGCCCATGATAATACTCTGAAATAACTCCATGATTAATATGGTAATTGCAGCTTATATGGGTTTCATATACTGATTGAGCTGAAGCAATGGAGTTGTGGGTTAACTCCTTTTCAGAGACATGGGAAAAATTGCTGATAAGTTAAACCTTAGTTACCTTTTTTTGTTCAGAGGCTAACCATCCTAGGTAGAACTGTGTCGTGAACTTGGGGAAGCTTAGCTCCGCAGACAGGTAGCGTAGCTTTGTGCCTATTATCTGTCAGGGAAGTGGAAGTCTCTGCAGTGAGGTGGGCTGATGTTGAGATAGGAAGTATCTCTTCTGGAGAGCTTCTGTGGTTTGCCTGGGAAGTAGACATTCCTAAGTAGAAGGTAAGTATTTTATGCTCTCAGCTTGAGCCCAGGGGCTTAGATTTCCAAGACGCACATTGGCCAATGCTGTTTGTGACCCTAAAATGGTTCATCTTGCCTCTTGTAGAAGGATGATGGTCTCTGGGGCCAAGAAGCGTTGACCGTCCCCACTAATCAGCGGCCCCCTGGGATGTAGCTGCTTTTTGCTTTTGTTTGGGTGAATGCTGTGTATTGAGTTACGGACTTGTATATTCCAGGGAGCTGGATCTGAAGAAGCCTATTTATCAGAAGACTGCAGCCTATGGTCACTTTGGTAGGAACAACTTCCCCTGGGAAGTCCCCAAAAAGCTTAAATACTGAAATATATATATGTTGGGCTTCTTTCCCCAGACCTGTTGGTGTACATTACAGAGAAACCTTCAGGGTCCTTTGTGGGAAGGAGCCCCCAGTCCCTCAATTGGTCCTATCCCCCTCTGCTCTTTAAAACTTGGCACACTGTTCATGACCAGGAATCTCAGTCCTCTGGGGACCGCAAATCGCACTGTGCTTTCTCCTCTGCCTGATGTGCTTGACGTACAAGGAGAGCCAGTTGAGCCTAGGCGCCCGTACAAAAATCCATAGAGAGAAGGAAAAGGCTGTAACCGAAACAGTGCTTCGGCCTAACCTTTTGCATTGCCCAAAAAGGCTTTATAACCTTACCTTCAAAAAGAAAAAAAAGAAAAAAAAAATCCCAAGAAACTTCCCTTGTGATGTGTATGCAGTTTGTGGTTGTTTCACGTCTGCCCGCTTCTGTTAGAGCAGGGGCAGTGCAGCAGGTGGTTTGGGAGACTGCCGAGGCCGCCGCCTCCGTTGATTTCCTAGGAGCAGCGGTCGCCCCAAGCAAAGAGAGCCTTGCATGTTAACACAACTCGTGTTTGGAACTCCCGCGAAGTTCTCAACAAGTTTCTTTTAACAGAGGCAGTCCCGATTCCCGTGCTTTTAAATTCCGTCAACATCACATTGTGATCTTTTTCTGCTGCTTTGAGGTTCTTTTTTTTTTTTTTTTTAATCCTATGCAGTTTTAGCACTAGCCAGACCTCATTCCACCCCCCTTATCAAATGGGCACTGGGCAATCTTGGTATATTTTAGACAGGTCAGAAGATTGTACACCCAGGACCTGTAGGCTGCACACTTTGGGCACCTGGATTTTTTTTTTTTTTTTTTTTTTTTTTTGGTTAGAGCCAAGAACTTCATGTTGCACAAATTTTTCCCAGTTTACTTTCACAATCAAGTTCCAAACTGCATTCTGAAGGACTGGCGTAGCTACAGAGAAGCCAGTTCCCCTTCAGAGCACACGTGCAATTGGGAAGGTTGTGGGAAGATACCTACGTACTTGAAACTTTTTAATAATTGTTTATTTATTGTGTTTGGGATGGGGTGTGAGTACAGAGAAGCCCTTGTCTCAAATGGCAGCTTTTAAACTTTACTTTGACACCATGAATTCCTTGACAGTTCCCAGCATTCCCTGATAGGCCAAGGTGTCCTACAGAAAAGCCTTGGGTGTAACCTACAGGGGGTCTGGCTTGTGTAAAACAGGGGAGGGCAGTGCTGGGGGGACCTGACCTTGGGAGAGGCTAACTTGGTTGGTGTTGTACAGAGAAGCCAGCTTGTTTACTTGCCCATCCCACGGTCAGCATCCTAAACAGGAAGTGCCTTTTGCGTTCCACTTTTTTTTTTTTTTTCTGGGCGTTTTACTACATATGTCTGGTTCTTGAAATTCCACATTAAAAATCTTAATAAAGTGCTAGGTTCTATCTTAAATGATGGCATGTGTATGGTTTGATTTTTTTTTTAAAAAAAGTAAAGTTTTCCCCTGTCCAGTCACGTCCGATTCTAGGGGGTAGTGCTCATCTCTGTTGCCTAGCCGAGAGAGCCAGCGTTGTCTGAAGATGCTTCCCTGGTAATGTGGCTACTATGACTTGTACGCCAAGGTGCATGGAACGCTGTTACCTTCCCACCAAAAGGGCACCTGTTTTATCTACTCACACTTGTATGCTTTCAGACTGCTAGGTTGGCAGGAGCTCACTCCTTCACGCAGTAGTTGGGCCTCAAATTGCCAACCTTTGATTAGCAACCCAGCATCTTAACTGCTGGGATCTGGCCAAAAGAATGGCTTGCTCAACAGCGGATCTTACTTGCTGCTGCTTGACTGATTTTCATGGGCTGGGGTGGCTCCAACATAGATGTTGTGGCACATTACTCTGCTTCTTCCCTAATGGACTGCTCTCTCCAACCTTTTCCCCATCTTAAATTCACGTGTGTGTGTGTGTGTGTGTGTGTGTGTGTGTGTGTGTGTGTGTGTGTGTGTGTGTGTGTGTGTGTGAGAGAGAGAGAGAGAGAGAGTTGAAACCTGGTTTTTGCTGTTTTTTAAATGAGAGCCTGGGAACGAGATACATCAACTCCTCTCAAGAAAAGTGCTGTGAATATTATTTGGGACTGAATAGGGGACGATAAGCAGTAACTCGTTTTAAAAAGCAGCAAGGAAGAGAGCTGCAGGCAGAAGCAGTCGCTTTTGTGAGATCTTATTCTGGATTTATCTCGTTCAGGTAAGCATACCTGCATCAGCTGCCACCAATATGCAAATCTGCTTTGGGGGAGGGGGGGCTAATTGGGGAAAGTTTCACGCTCCTGCAGGAGAGGATCTCCAAAATGCAGGGCAGAGTTAACCTGGCAATGCCATTAGCATCTTTCTAATCAACTAATTAGTCAAATCTCTGGGACACCCTTCCCCTGCATCAATGTTTCTAAAATCAAAGAAAATTACCTTATTAATATGCAATGTTTGCATGCCTTGCTGAGCAAATAAATAACTTACGTAGGCAGTTATTTTGGCTTTAACATGGGAAAGAAAATCAAGCAGACTTCCACATTAAAAGCTAATGCTTGGCATTTTTCAACATTTGTTGCTTAGATGTCAAAAGTAGTAATCACTTTTGTCTGATCTCAGAAGGAGGGTTGCGCCTATTCAATAAGGATGGGACACCACTGGAAAATAGGAATGGGGCCCTAATTCGATTAATTTGAGTTAGATGAGCTAATAGCAAGAGCATCTTTATTTTTTACACTGGTTTAACAAAAAAAACAGCATTCAAAATAACATCCTTGGCCAACATTTCTCAGCAACTGTTGGGAGAGCAACTTTGGGGCACAGAAATTGTTAGGGAATGAAATGCAGGTATTCCTCACATGACCGTTGCAGCATTTTCACAGTTGTGATTAAAATTCAGATGCTTGGCAACTGACTCAACGGTCGCAGCATACTGGTTGAAGTGTTCTGGGGTCCTGTGATCCCCTTTTGCAACCTGGCAAAGTCAAAGGGGAAGCCAGAGTCACTTAACCGAATTACAAACTTAAACAAAATTTTGGGGTCAATTGTGGTTATAAGTCGAGGACTACCTGTAAGGAGACTTTAAGTGGGAGTTTGGCAGCATCTTTTCCAATTGATGCTTTTCATTAAATGGTGTTAAGCCTTTGGACCCTTTTTTTGCTTTTTTTTTGGCCATCCTAGGATGAAATGTCTTCAGAAGTTTACCTTCTGTGCATTTCTGCAAACAGGAAAACGCCCAGTAAACAAAAGGATGAGTTTTGCAATCCTGTATTGATTTAAGCAACTCCTGTTCCCCACAGAGGAAAAGGCTTATAAAGGTCAACAACTTCTGAGCAGCTCCAAAGTTCAAAAATGACCGTTTATAACACCTTTTTTAAAAAATAAATAAATCCAGGAGCATCTTGTTCCTTTCCGTTCATGTTTCCCCTGTGGAATTCGGGTGAAAGGTTGGCTTGGGTTGGCTTGACTGGCTATATCTGCATTGATGCAATATAACCTCAGCCAGAGTTCTTCCTCAAGCGCTATTAGGACGGCTGCAAAACTCCAGATCGCCACTAGGGGGGGCCTCCGAGACAGCTCGCCGGCTTTCTCCTGCCATCTGGCGGTCTCCCGAGGTTCTGCAGCCTGAATCTGAACGTTTTAGCGCAGTGGTTCTCAACCTATGGGTCAGGACCCCATTTGGGGTCGATCGACCATTTCATGGGGGTCGCCAAGCAAAGCTGTCCGCCATTTTTTTCCCCCCTTTTCCGGCGAGTGCCTTACCTCCCTTGAGCTGGGCCAGCTGGTGGTCGGCCTGCTCCGTCTCTGCCGCTTGCCAGCTACGCCTCGGCCGGTGCAGGGGGCGGACTTACGACCGGTTTAGTCCTCGACTTACGACCAGTTTTGTCCTTGACTTATGACCGGTTTAGTCCTCGATTTACGACCGGTTTAGTCCTCAACTTGCCAGCTACGCCTCGGCCAGCGCAGGGGGCAGAACCATGCATGCGCGGCGCTCCCGGGCAGGGAAAATCCTCGACTTACAACAGATTGGGTAGTCCTCGACTTACGACCGGTTGGGGGTCGCGGCATTAAAAAGGTTGAGAACCACTGTTTTAGCGCAATAAACGACCAACAACGGGCAGTTGATCCCC